ATTGCTGATTATGACCATGTATTGTTATATAAGTGCATATAAATGAAAATATAGACGAATGGATTATATAATTTAATAGAAAATATAAATTAAAAGATTCTTCCTTGTCTCATGACAAAAATGATGGTGTTCAGATAGAGATGATTCAACGGAGTCACTCAATTCAACATCAGCAGAAAAAGAGTCGGTAAGTTTGATTCATTTAAGTGAATCACTTCAAACTGTCTGTTTCACTGAACTGATTCAAAACTCTGATTCAAATGATTCAACACCTGTTGCATCATTGGTGTTCATGAGCCAGTGTCTGTGTGTGTTATATAGGTGCATATGAATGAAAATTAAATACGATTCTTCCTCATCTTATGACGAGTATGAGGCTTATTTAACAGAATCTCTCATTTAAACTTAAGAAGAGTTGGTAAGTTTGATCAGTTTAAATGAATCGATTAGTTGAAATATTGATTCAAAACTTTTAATGATTGTCATTAGTGTTCATGTGTTTTTTCATGTATTATTAAGTTCAGTATAAATATCTGTAGGTAAATGTCACTGTTTATGACTATTATACTGATGCATCTAAATGAAAACTATTACATTTTTCATTTAAAAAAAAAATGTTCTTCCTCATCTCATGATGAATATGAGAGAGTTCAGACAGAGATGATTCAATAGAGTTGGCAAGTTTGATTCATTTCAGTGAATCACTTCAAACTGTCCATTTCAATGAATCAATTCAAAAACTCAATAATTGTTTGCACTGCATGTGTTAAAATGATTAGTATAAATATCTATAGGTAAATATTCGGATTGCTGACTATATATGATGACTATGTTTTGTTATATTAAGTGCATATGAATGAAAATGATGACATATGATTGTTCATTCAGTGATGATCTGTAGTTACTGTAGATAAAAATGCTGAATCCTCATCACGGCCGAACAGAGCCGACCCTTCACTAAGCCCCGCCTTCAAACACCACTGACCAATCAGAGAACGCCAAAGCATCTGACACACACACACACACACACACACACACACAACCAATCACACACACACACACACACACTGTATTTATCAGGACAGAAGGCACGATTTCTCTGACAATTAACGTCAAAACATGCATGAAGTGCTGAATGAGAGGAACGTGAGCATGTTTATCTGTAAAACACATTTCACAATTAAAAATAATGTTTATAATAAAAACCACTATAATTTATGCAAGTTTTACACTTGTATTCTTCAGTCCTGTGTTGAATGCAGTTAGAGGTGGGTGTCGGGGTGTGTGTGTGTGTGTGTGTGTGTGTGTGTGTGTGTGTGTGTGAGTGTGTGTATGTGAGTGTTTGTTATCCATTCAAATCTCCCATCATCCTCCGGTTGATGGCCTCGTTCTTCCACTGCCGGCTGCCATTGTTGTGTTTGTCTGCGGCACGAGACACGCGGTCGCTCACCGTCTGAAGTGTGTGTGTGTGTGTGTGTTCACTTTGACGAGTAAAAACGTCCACTTCTGCTCCCAAACTCACACAAACACCGTAAACACGCTCACAGATGAACAACTGAAAGAAATGACTCATGTTCACAAGTTTGATTCATTCAGTGAATCGCTTCGACCGTCTGTTTCAATTAATTCAAAACTTGGATTCAAATGTCTGATCTTTCAATGTATTAAAATGTTTAATATGAATATCAGTAGGGAAATATTGCTGATTATGACCATGTATTGTTATATAAGTGCATATAAATGAAAATATAGACGAATGGATTATATAATTTAATAGAAAATATAAATTAAAAGATTCTTCCTTGTCTCATGACAAAAATGATGGTGTTCAGATAGAGATGATTCAACGGAGTCACTCAATTCAACATAAGCAGAAAAAGAGTCGGTAAGTTTGATTCATTTAAGTGAATCACTTCAAACTGTCTGTTTCACTGAACTGATTCAAAACTCTGATTCAAATGATTCAACACCTGTTGCATCATTGGTGTTCATGAGCCAGTGTCTGTGTGTGTTATATAGGTGCATATGAATGAAAATTAAATACGATTCTTCCTCATCTTATGACGAGTATGAGGCTTATTTAACAGAATCTCTCATTTAAACTTAAGAAGAGTTGGTAAGTTTGATCAGTTTAAATGAATCGATTAGTTGAAATATTGATTCAAAACTTTTAATGATTGTCATTAGTGTTCATGTGTTTTTTCATGTATTATTAAGTTCAGTATAAATATCTGTAGGTAAATGTCACTGTTTATGACTATTATACTGATGCATCTAAATGAAAACTATTACATTTTTCATTTAAAAAAAAAATGTTCTTCCTCATCTCATGATGAATATGAGAGAGTTCAGACAGAGATGATTCAATAGAGTTGGCAAGTTTGATTCATTTCAGTGAATCACTTCAAACTGTCCATTTCAATGAATCAATTCAAAAACTCAATAATTGTTTGCACTGCATGTGTTAAAATGATTAGTATAAATATCTATAGGTAAATATTCGGATTGCTGACTATATATGATGACTATGTTTTGTTATATTAAGTGCATATGAATGAAAATGATGACATATGATTGTTCATTCAGTGATGATCTGTAGTTACTGTAGATAAAAATGCTGAATCCTCATCACGGCCGAACAGAGCCGACCCTTCACTAAGCCCCGCCTTCAAACACCACTGACCAATCAGAGAACGCCAAAGCATCTGACACACACACACACACACACACACACACACAACCAATCACACACACACACACACACACTGTATTTATCAGGACAGAAGGCACGATTTCTCTGACAATTAACGTCAAAACATGCATGAAGTGCTGAATGAGAGGAACGTGAGCATGTTTATCTGTAAAACACATTTCACAATTAAAAATAATGTTTATAATAAAAACCACTATAATTTATGCAAGTTTTACACTTGTATTCTTCAGTCCTGTGTTGAATGCAGTTAGATGTGGAATGAGAGGAACTAAAATACAGGTTTAAAGTTTGGTAAGTTTGATTCATTTCAGTGACTCAGTTCAAACTGTCCATTTTAATGAACTGATTCAGAACTCTGATTCAACTGTTTGTGTTATTAATGTTCAAGTTCCATTATCTCTGTGTATTTTAGTGTATATATATTGCTGTCTATGACTATGTATTGTTTTAAAGGTGCATATAAATGAAAACGATTAAATATGATTCATGAGAGTGTTCAGACAGAGATGATTCAATAGAGTCACTCATTTAAACTTCAGCAGCTGATCATTTTGATTCAGTTCAGTGAATCAAACTGTTTTATACGTATATTTTTATTTGTGTTTTGAATGCGGGTAAACTTGAAGTATTTGTTGTGGAGTGTTTATAATGTTTGTGAGTGTTTTATTTACCCGTATTTTTGGAATGTGATAATGAAATGTGACTTTTCTGTGTTTTTGCTCTCAATAATGCAATCCTGACCTGGTGCGACAGTTTAGTTTAAAAGTATTTTCTGAAAATCCAGCAGTTCAGAGACATGAAATCAAGTAAATGAAGTCCTGACGGCACCGGGCTGACCTGAGCCGGATCCACGTCATTCAGCATCACGATAGACGTGCAGTGATAGTCCAGAACCAGCCGCCAGAAGTCCTTGACTGTGTTTGGCAAAGGATGCTGGGTAACGATGAACGCAGACGGCTGCTTGTAGCTCTGAAAGAAAGAGACGAAGAGCATGAGTTAGTCATCATCACTTCCAATTATATCAAGAATACTTATGATAAAGCATATGTTTGTTGTGCTGCATTTAGTTATGCAATCAATTTGAAATAATAATAATAAAAAAGGAATCTCTATATTAAACTAATGAGAATAAAAAAGAGATCCATGCATTGAATATCAGTATTTATGACTATTATACTGATGCATCTAAATGAAAACTATTAAATTTTTCAATTTTCATTTTTTCTTCCTCATCTCATGATGAATATGAGAGAGTTCAGACAGAGATGAATCAAAAGAGTTGGCAAGTTTGATTCCTTTCAGTGAATCATTTCAAACTGTCCATTTCAATGAATCAATTAAAAAACTCAATAATTGTTTGCACTGCATGTTTTAAAATAAATTTCAAAATGTTTACACATTATTTTATTTTTACTTTTTATATTATTTATTTTTCTCTTTTAATTTTTTTTCTTTTTGTATTTTTTTCTTTTTGAATTTTATGTTTGGTATAAAGAGGAGAGACTTAGCCACTAATTAATTAACATTAATCAGCTGTCTTCGATGATTGCTTACTAATTAAGAAGACTTGTTTGAACAATTGACGTGTAGCCGAAACACGTAGATCTACACTTCTAACTTTTTTAATGATTTAGCCAGGCTTTTTACCTTTATACAAGTGCCTCGGAGTATTTCATCTTTGATGTTGACACATCATGTTAGTATTTCAATAATAATAAAGAAATCACTATATTACAGTATCATAAGTGAATTGTGCATTTGCATTGAAGGAATGAGAATCGGGTTCAATGGAAATGTAATTGTTCTTACAGTCCAGTTTTTAAAATCATAACATTCCCTTTTGTTTTTGAGGTGAGCGATGCTAATAATGTCGTACGTCCATGAGCGCGGCGTTGATGTAGTTATTAATGTTCAAGTTCCATTATCTCTGTGTATTTTAGTGTATATATATTGCTGTCTATGACTATGTATTGTTTTAAAGGTGCATATAAATGAAAACGATTAAATATGATTCATGAGAGTGTTCAGACAGAGATGATTCAATAGAGTCACTCATTTAAACTTCAGCAGCTGATCATTTTGATTCAGTTCAGTGAATCAAACTGTTTTATACGTATATTTTTATTTGTGTTTTGAATGCGGGTAAACTTGAAGTATTTGTTGTGGAGTGTTTATAATGTTTGTGAGTGTTTTATTTACCCGTATTTTTGGAATGTGATAATGAAATGTGACTTTTCTGTGTTTTTGCTCTCAATAATGCAATCCTGACCTGGTGCGACAGTTTAGTTTAAAAGTATTTTCTGAAAATCCAGCAGTTCAGAGACATGAAATCAAGTAAATGAAGTCCTGACGGCACCGGGCTGACCTGAGCCGGATCCACGTCGTTCAGCATCACGATAGACGTGCAGTGATAGTCCAGAACCAGCCGCCAGAAGTCCTTGACTGTGTTTGGCAAAGGATGCTGGGTAACGATGAACGCAGACGGCTGCTTGTAGCTCTGAAAGAAAGAGACGAAGAGCATGAGTTAGTCATCATCACTTCCAATTATATCAAGAATACTTATGATAAAGCATATGTTTGTTGTGCTGCATTTAGTTATGCAATCAATTTGAAATAATAATAATAAAAAAGGAATCTCTATATTAAACTAATGAGAATAAAAAAGAGATCCATGCATTGAATATCAGTATTTATGACTATTATACTGATGCATCTAAATGAAAACTATTAAATTTTTCAATTTTCATTTTTTCTTCCTCATCTCATGATGAATATGAGAGAGTTCAGACAGAGATGAATCAAAAGAGTTGGCAAGTTTGATTCCTTTCAGTGAATCATTTCAAACTGTCCATTTCAATGAATCAATTAAAAAACTCAATAATTGTTTGCACTGCATGTTTTAAAATGATTAGTATAAATATCTATAGGCAAATATTGCTTGATGACTGCTGATTGCGGACTATACATGATGACTTTGTTTTGTTATATTAAGTGCATATAAATGAAAAGGCATTTGCATAAAAAAAAATGATATATATAGTAGCCGAAACACGTAGATCTACACTTCTAACTTTTTTAATGATTTAGCCAGGCTTTTTACCTTTATACAAGTGCCTCGGAGTATTTCATCTTTGATGTTGACACATCATGTTAGTATTTCAATAATAATAAAGAAATCACTATATTACAGTATCATAAGTGAATTGTGCATTTGCATTGAAGGAATGAGAATCGGGTTCAATGGAAATGTAATTGTTCTTACAGTCCAGTTTTTAAAATCATAACATTCCCTTTTGTTTTTGAGGTGAGCGATGCTAATAATGTCGTACGTCCATGAGCGCGGCGTTGATGTAGTTGCTGCTCTCTCCGTCGATGGTGATGAGGAAGGGCAGGCAGCGGTCCGGAGGAAGAACATCCATGCAGCGGTTCTTCTCGTGATTGCGCGGCAGAAGAGCGATGCTACAGTCCTCCACACGCAGCGTCGGAGTCACCATGTTCAGCGTCTGACAACACACCGCAGTCATCTTCACTAGACATCACACAATCCCCACCATGACACACTAGCATTATTAAAGCAATAAGCCCCGTGAAGCCATGGTTTACAGTGAATTTATAACAGCTAACACGACGCAAAGTGCCTAAAACCCCCTTAGCTGTTATAAATTCACTGTAAACCACGGCTTCACGGGGCTTATTGCTTTTATAAAACGGTTATTCCATATACGTAGTAAGGTTTCACAAAATAAAACAGAGCAAATAAAGTGTAATGATATTAATAAAAACAGTATTCTTCCACCAAACAATGTAGCTCCTCAGAAACAGTTGTGGTTGCAACAAAGTGGTTGCCAAGCAACACACAAACGTAAACAAAGGTGTATGTTACATTGTAGATTAATTTACAACAGCTTTGAACGTGGCTCAGCCAATCAGAATCAAGGACCGGAGCTCTCCGCTTTATAATTACATATTAGCACTGAAGAATACATTATGAACCTAAAAATTTCAGCTGATTTAATAAACATAGACAGCATTCGCGCTAAAACTTGACATTTTATAAGTGACATTAAAACATCGCAAAATATGGTAACACTTTACAATAACAAACAATGAACAATACATTTATTACAGTGTTTATTAATCTTTGTTAATGTTAATGAAAATTCATTGTTAGTTCACTTTGCATTAACTAATGTTAACAAGCACAACGTTTGATTTTAATAATGCATTAGTAAATGTTGAAATTGACACCTGCATAAGATTAATAAATGCTGTAGAAGTGTTGTTCATGCTTAGTTCACGTTAACTAAAGTAGTTAACTAACGTTAACTAATGAACCTTATTGTAAATTATGTTCTTCCTCAGTATTTTTGTCTTGTTTTCCAGTACAAGTGTCTAAACATTCATAAATCAAGATTTAAGTTTAGTTGCAAGATGCAAAATGACCTCAGATATGAATCAAAATTAAATTTTTGCTCATGAGGTTAGAAAAATAACCCTTTAAATTATCTTGTAATTTTTCGTACACCATTCACAGATAGTTGTTCTCGTTTTAAGCATAAACTCACTTCATTTTGATGATTTTTTCCCCCAAAAAACAAGTAAATTTGCTTCTTGAATAAATATATAGACATTTGGCGGTAACAATTTACCTGAAACCTTTACATATAATGCATTATAAAAGTGTTTTTAATGCATTAGTTATTATTAATTAATATATTATAATGCATTTTAACTTTGGTTACAGTTATGTATGAAAAGATATCAATACCTTCATAATGCATTATGTATAAAGACATATTTGTAATTTGTAAATACTGAGTAAAATCATTTTCGTAATCATTTTTATGTTGTGTCTCAACATTTTTACTCAACATCGGACAAATCATTTTTAATAAGTGCAAATATTCCATGTGTGTTTGTTTACAGTAGCTTTGATCTTTCTATAAATGTGTACAGTAGAAGAGATGATGAACCGTTTAGTGTAGAAACCTGATATTTTCTGTTTCCATTACTGGCCAAATCAAATCAGTGCTGATAATGCATTTAAAACGGCCTGATACTGAAATACTGTGCGCTGATATTCAATACAGACGCTCATATTTGACCATTTCTTCACCACAGCACTTTGTAAAATCAAATCAAAGCAGCAACACAGAAAGCGTTTCATATCTTCAGCTCTGAAACTCATGCAAGCGGACTGATTTGTCTCTCACCCTGAACTCCTCTTTGATTGGACTGGAGTTGGTCTGAGGATCCAATCGGTTCATGTCGTAGTAAACGGAGCGAAGCTGATTGGCTGGGATGGTGGTGTCGCCACAGAGACACGCCTCCAAGATGGCATCATGGATAAAGACATACTGCTCCTGACAAACACAAGAAACAAGATCCAGTATGACTGAAGACTATCACATCTATAATCATGACAGAACCATAAAGTTAAATGGTGTTGTTTTTTCAAAGAAATGTAAACTTTTATTGATCAAGGACACATACAATTGATCAAAAGTGACAGTAAAGACATTTATAATGTTGCAAAATATTTCTATTGCAAATTTCAAATTTCAAATAAATGCTGTTCTTTTGAACTTTCTATTCATCTGTGAATCCTGAAAAATAAAACCATTTCCACCAAAATATTGGGCAGCACAATTGTTTTCAACAAATGTTAAAGGGGTCATATGATGTTGCTGAAAAGAACATTATTTTGTGTATTTGGTGTAATGAAATGTGTTTATGCGGTTTAAGGTTCAAAAAACACATTATTTTCCACATACTGTACATTATTGTTGCTCCTCTATTCCCCGCCTTTCTGAAACACGTTTTTCTATTTTTACAAAGCTCATCGGTCTGAAAAGCGAGGTGTTCTCTAATTGGCCAGCTATCCAGTGCATTGTGATTGGCTGAATATCTCAAGCGTGTGACGGAAATGTTATGCCCCTACCATACTGAGATGCCCTGTCCGGCCGGAGCGACGAGACAAAAACATTAAAACCCATTATAAACGAGGCATTTGTTGCATCCAGTGGGGACATAATTACGGATTATAATGACTTATACTCAATGGCTTGAGTGAGCGGAGGCCGGCGGGATTGAGTGAGGGAAGGCCGGCGGCTAGAGTGAGCGGAGGCTTGAGTGAGCGGAGGCCGGCGGGGCTAGAGTGAGTGGAGGCCGGCGGGGCTTGAGTGAGAGGAGGCCGGCGTCTAGAGTGAGCGGAGGCCGGTGGCTAGAGTGAGCGGAGGCCGGTGGCTAGAGTGAGTGGAGGCCGGCGGGGCTTGATTGAGCAGAGGCCGGCGGCTAGAGTGAGTGGAGGCCGGTGGCTAGAGTGAGCGGAGGCCGGTGGCTAGAGTGAGCGGAGGCCGGCGGGGCTTGATTGAGCGGAGGCCGGGGGCTAGAGTGAGGAACGGCCAGAGGGCTAGAGTGAGCAGAGGACGGGGGCTAGAGTGAGGAACGGCCAGAGGGCTAGAGTGAGCAGAGGACGGGGGCTAGAGTGAGGAACGGCCAGAGGGCTAGAGTGAGCAGAGGACGGGGGCTAGAGTGAGGAACGGCCAGAGGGCTAGAGTGAGCAGAGGCTTGAAAACGGCGCGGCCGGCAGATTCGACGAAGGAGCGTCCGGAGGGCTTGCGGCAACCACATGTGACGACCCCGGGCTGGAC